TGGAAACAGGGAAGAAGTGGGGCCTCAGAAATTTCCAGGATAACTCTGTGTGAAAGAAGGCAGGACTGCTTCGGGGGAGGCTGAGGCTCCCTGGGAAATCTGTCTACCTTTAGCTTTTTCAGTTGCAGCACTCCCTGAAAGACCTTCCTCCTGTCCCCAGTTTCCCTTTGAGATGTGCATATGAGGGTTTGTGTTTGCAGGGGAGGGTGCAGATAGGCTCAAGGATTTCCCCAGGGATATTTGTACCTCCAGCCTCTGACGTGGAGCCTAGAACATGGTGGATGCTCAGTAGATGTGTGATGAACTCACACCTGGGGGATGGAGCCCCTCTATCATTGCCTGATAGTGACTTTCTCCCACTTCAGGATAGTAGGACTAAGGGCTTGGCTGGGAAAGAGATGATCCAACTCATCTTCTTGGTCCTGATCCTTTTGGGCACCAGATTCAAAACCCAGGAGGCTCTAGACCCAGAAAAGACTGCTTCCCAGCTCTTCCAGGTGGCAGGTTTCCTTGACAGCAATCAGCAGAACATTCTAGCCTCAGCTGAACATTTCTGAGGTTTCCCTGACAAGCCCAAGGAGTAGAATGTACTAATGTCCTAGTGTACCTTTGCCTAGGAAAATGGGGGTGTCCTGGGTGAAGTAGAGTAAAAAGAGAGTATTTTTTTTTAAAGATTCTATTTATTTGACAGAGAGATCACAAGTAGGCAGAGAGGCAGACAGAGAGAGAGGGAGAAGCAGGCTTCCCGCTGAGCAGAGAGCCTGATGCGGGGCTCGATCCCAGGACCCTGAGACCATGACCTGAGCCGAAGCCAGAGGCTTAACCCACTGAGCCACCCAGGTGCCCCAAAGGAGAGTATTTTGATTGGATTTCTTCATTCCTGGGCAAGATAAAGCCTACTTCTTTTCAGTGGGCTGGGGAGCAGTTTGGGGGTGGGGAGGGGAGCTGAGGACACTGCCCTGAGGGCCATGCTTGTAGCTTTCCTGTAAATGCATCTCCACAGATGTTCTGTCAGGCTCAGCCAGGAGGAGGGTGGTCTGAGGGTACCAAAGACCTGGCAGCATCACCTTTGTCTTCTAGGAGGAGGCTCAGCTGGTGAGGAGAGACTCAGGGAAGGCCAGCCATCCCTAGTGACAAACACAATGGAGAGAGGACATTTATGGAAATCCTCCACTGCAGGGTTTTTTTTTCCCACTCCCCAACATGACACTATTCATATTTTTAAAATCTGGAAGTGTATATTTATTCATTCACTGCAAACTGAAACTGAATGTGTGCTAAATGTCATAAATCATGGGATCCTGGACTTCACCTTATCTTTTAGGTTCCACTGAGCTTTCACATGGCAGCTTCACTCTGCCTCTTCCTTTCCACCCACGTCTGGGACTCTAAATGTTTTCTCTTTAGCACCTGCTTTTTCTCTTTGCATCCCACTGAACCAGAGATGGGCAAGAAGTGAGCTCATTGACTGGGAAATCAAGTCTCTCCACTTGCTTACCCAATTAGCAGAAACCAATCTGTCTATTCAAGTATATTCTCCTCTCTCTCTCTCTCTCTGTCTTTCTCTCTTTCACACACACACACACACACACACACACACACACACACATACACACACACACACACACACACACTGCAACTCAGAAGAGAGCAACTGTTCCTTTGCAGACAGATGGAATGATGCTTTGAGAGATAAATTCATTCTGTTAGAGCAATTCCAGCAAGAGAAGGACACTCAAATCTTCTGGGTCCCTGGTCCTTCTTATGGGTACGATCCCTCCTGGAGGGAGTTAAGAGGCAAGGGGGGTCAAGCACTATGGACTCCCCCACCAAGACCTCCACCATACCCATAAATCAGTTTCCAACTGAACCCCTCCCTGGGGGTTGAGTTACAAACCTCAGCAACCCCAGGGCAGTCTGCCTGGTAATTCCTATTATTCAGCTGTCAGCTGGTTTTTTAAAAACCTCCCTTCCCAGTGATCCAGTTACCAGAGTTTTAGAGCCCATTCCTTGTCTTAGAGAGAAATCCTATAGCCAGGTAAAACAATGGAGAAGGCCGCTGCCTGCTTTCTATAGGGAGCTGAGTTTTCTCTTCTGTTGAAAGCAGCCTCCCCTTAACTCTTTGCATCCCTCCCAGATAGTTGGCTGGCGCCTTGCAGAGCAACTTTGCCTTTCTCCAGGGACCCTCCTCCTACAGCCAGCATCAGTCAGCAGAGGAGAAAACAAACGGCCGCAAGGGGTGGGAAGAGAGAGAGAAAATTCTCCAAAATAGATTTCTGCGGCCTCAACTAGGGTGCCGCCATTGGTCAGTTGGTCTCAGGGTTCAGAGCCCAGATCTCCAGCCATGCAGGTCCTGATAGCCTGTACTAGAAGGGGAGGAACGGTACAGAGGGAGGGGTCTGCTTTGACAGTGATGAGAGGTGGGGAGTGAGGCTCCTGACCTCCCTGACCCCTTTATCCCAGACAGTCTTTTCTGGTCCCTGCAGCTCAGAAGGCTGGGCCCCTGCTGCTTGACCTTAGAGGCCAATAGCGCAGGAGGCCAGGCCACTAGGTGTCCTTCAGAACCAGCCTGAGAGAGAGGCTGGGAAGGCCTGGGAGAGAGGTCTTAGAAGAAATGTCACTAGAGGGTGTGACCTTCCTCCCAGCTATTCAGACCCACTAAGATGCCCCATACCCCTACATTGGTGATTTTTAACCCTTTATAGGGTCACGGGCCCCTTTGGGAAACTGTTGTAAGTAAGGTATGGAGTCACCCCTCAAAATGTTTGTGTGAGCCCATGTACAGTTCAGCCAGTTTCAGGGGTTCATAGCCCCTAAAACTGAAGCGACTCTGGTGAGTCTGGCAAGTACATGGATCCCAGGTAAAAATTCTGCTCTACCATCATCCTTGCCTTGTGGACCCATTTCTGCTGTGATGAAGGAGACAGAACAATGGCAGCTTGGAGTGGGGGTGGGGACTTGGGGGTGGAGATGTGGGGATGGAGAGGTGGGGATTGGGGTGGGTAAAGAAAATGAGTATGATAGCTGTCCTGTAGGGCCTGTGCTGCCTGAGAAGAGAGGTTCAGAGCTGCTCTTTCCTTCAGTTCCATTCTTGATCCTAGGTAATACCAATAGTCATCACCAGCTAGCTTGAGATATTGGCCAAGGAGGAAAGCCATTAGGAAGAGAAGGATGGTAAGAAGGTGGGGAAAGAGGTCTGTGCATGGTGAATGTGGTGAGGGCTCCCCAGTGCCCTGTAGGGAGACTGGGCTTGGTTTCCTCATTTCCCCACATGTGGCATGAATGTGAGGTCACCCTGACCTGGTGACACTCCCTCTTGGCCAAGTCTCCTGGTAAAATAATATACCTCCTTTCTGGACATCCGTCAACTCCTGGGGAACTGGGCTGCTGGCCAACCTTGACTCTCCCCTCTTTCCCTTTTCCCTCTTCTCTGGACTTTGGAGATAGCGTTTTCCTGCCCTACTAACCCCAGCCCTCTATATGCCTGGTTGGCTCTCTTTCAGGTGCACTTTGAGGGAGCTAAGGAAAGAATGGGTAGGGGAAAATGTGCAAGGAGACTTCAGGTTCCTCTGGGCTAAGAGCCCCAGGTCCACTTAACTTAAATCTGTCTGAGTTTACAACCAGAGAAAGCAGTTTGGTTGTCAGAGGAATGTCTGTCTCTACAATCCCTGGGGTCAGGCCCATCATTGACCACCTAGTCTGCTGCAGGGACTGGCTTGCTCTCATTGATTTCTGGCTTCTTTTATCTTTCCTAAAATGCAGCCTTGGTCAAGTCGCTCATCTTCTATAAAAATCTTTGCTGGCTCCCTTTTGCCTCCAGTACGGATTCTCCAGCCTGGCATTGCAGGGACACCTATGTATTCAGACCTGAATCCACCTGTCCATGCCCACCCTTCCCAAATCCTGGGGTGCACCCAAAGACCCCTCCTCCTGCCTGCCCTGCTCCTAAGACAGATTGTCCAGTTCAGCTCTTTATTCTGCTGCCCCTGGCCTGGGCTGCTTTATCTAGTCTTCCTTATTGAAAAATTCCCCCATCCTTCAAGGCCCAACTCAAAAGTGATCTCCCTGAAGCTCTCCCCAAAGGAATGGGTTCTCAATTTTTCTCCACCTTCCAGCGGTCATTGTTCCTAAGAATTAACACATTTCATGAGGCATTCGGCATTCCGTTATTTTCAAGTCTTCCTCCGGGAGGAAACTGTAAGCTCTCTGAGGACAGGCACCGGGTTTTGGGCTCCTAACCCAGTATCTGGCACAATGTAGGTATTCAGTAAATGTTTGTGAAATGGCCTGGAGACTCCCTTACTGATAGTACTCGATCTGCGGGACACATCTCTGGATGCTGCCATAAACAGGATGGGTGTCAGCTGCTCAAGCAGCCCCTGCATTTTTTATCTTTCCTCTCCTAAGCCAGATACTTATTCTGTAAGTGTCCACGTCCACTCAAGAAGAGGACATGAGATTCCCTTCGGATGTGTTTGATCTGAATGTCACTCAGTAACAGCGCCAGACGCACGTGTTCTTATGCTTCCTACAGATTTGCGCCTGGAGTTTATTTCTGACGCGCTAAGCAGGCGGGAGAGTGCTTTGCCACCAGGCCGGGATCCCCAAGGGCCCGCACCTTGCACTCGGTGGACGCCGCCAGCCGCGTCTAAATGCTTCCGGACTCCTCCTCCCCTCCCGTTCTGGACTCTGCGTAATTATTCAGTCCATTCCGGAGAAAGAGAAGACAAAAGTCACTTTGGCGCCCCCTCTCTCCCTTCTAATAGGACTCAGGGACTCTCGGCCGCTTCCCGAGCTTGCATTAGGAACAGAATCTGCGCGGACTATGGCGCTCCAATTGCGTTTCTGACGGGAGCCGGAATTTCGCTCGGCCCCTTGCAACGTTTCCAAGGGAAGGTTCGTACATTCGTGACCGTCCCTGGCAGCCGCCCAGCCCGGGACTTGGGGCTCCACTCGCCATTGGCCAGCCGTGGGCGTGACGCGCCGGAGGCGGGGCCTCATCAGCTGTTTGCGGGATGCCCCGAGCGGGCGTATTTTGGAAACAATACCGCGCGGGGCACAGTGGCCTCCTCCCGCGCCAGCCAGCCAGCTGCCGCCGCCGCCCCTGCCCGCGCCTCCCGCCACCCGCCTCAGTCCGGTGAGCGCGCGGGAGGCCGGGGACCGGGCGGAGTTGGATCGCAGCTCCTCGGAGAAGTGGGGAGAGGAGTCGTGCTGCGCATGGGGGCCCGGGAAGGGTTGGGCTGCGGGCGTCTGGGGTGACCATGAAGGACTGGAGCGCTGGGGTGCGGGAACGGGGTGCAGAACCCTCATATAGGTGCGCTGCTCCACCAGGGAACTTGGGGGTAGCAGCATTTCAGACAGCAAGGAGTTGGGTCCAGGTGGGCAGGGGAACCTGCGGTTCACTGCTGAGCAGACCTGGGCTCCCGAGAACGGCCGGGCCTCTGGATCTGACTTTGGGGTAGGACAGGGAGTTGTGGGGCGGCCAGCCTCCCTGCGGAGTCTGAAGGCTCCTCTCCTTAACAGCTGGGCTCTTTCCCTCCTTCCCAATTGCGTCTGGGCGCCAAGCCCCTGAGTGCTCGTCACGCTGGACCCTGGCGCGGAGCCCTGGCATCACGATTCGGAGGCTGAGACTCTCTCCTGGAGTCACCCAGGTCTGCTGTGTGTCGTGTGGGTGCGTGTGTATGCATGTATGTGTGCGTTCCCAGATTTTAACTCCTGTAGAGGTTCAGAGTGCCTGGCTCCTGTCTTCTCCTGGGAGGAGGAGTCTTAAGTTCAGCATCCTTGTTACAGCCGTCGGGGGCTGGAATGGCTCCAGCGGGCTTTGGTTCCCCTTGCTAGGAATAAAGCCTTCCCAGGCTGTGCTCTCAAGAAGTGTGCTCCTCCTACCAGTTTGGACATGACCTCCTCAGCTCAGGCAAAGAGGAGAAGAGGGTCTCCTTACCCTACCCCAGTTTACCCCTTTGACTTTGCCCAGGACCCCTTGGAAGGCTCCCACCTACAGAAGAGCCACCTGCAGTTCCTGTGGAGAATGGGTAGGGTCCCCAGGGCTTGCAGAGACACACCCTATGGCTACATTTCCCCCACAGTCCAGTCCAGTCCAGGCAAGGGCTGAACTTTGGGGCTTTGCTGGGAGGGGGAGGGGGAGGTGACAGGCTTCAAAGGAAAAACCAAGACAATGACTGCTGCTTGTGATTCGCTTTGGTGGGCCCCTTTTTAGGCTGGGATTGCCAGCTTGCAGAGAAGAGGCTGGAGGGCAGGAGGGGAGCCCCTGCCAGGTAACTGGCAAGACAGCACTTGGTCCTTTTAACCGGAAACTTCGTTTCCTGGTGCTGATGAGCTGAAGATCTCCTCCCCTCTTTTGGGAAACACTTTCCAAAGAACACCATGTGCCTGTTTTGCCATCCCAGCCAGCGTCTCCTCACTCACCAGGGAAGAGGGGAGAGATGGGATCAGAGATAGCTCACGGGCTTGTTGGGATGGAGAGAGGGTTGAAGCAAGCACCGCAGAGACAGCTCGAATTTAGGGAAGCCAAGATTCTGAATTTAAGTGAGATTCCTTTAAGTACTTTACCAACCCACAGACCATTTGGCTTGTTCTTCAAAGGCAAGGGACTGGGAGACAGAATTCCCATGGGCTCTCTAATTGAATCTGGCAATGACAAACAGTATCTCTATATCCTTAACCATTCAGGTAGCTGCTGCTTCTGTTGCCCCAGGGACCGTAACAGAGTGTGTGTGTGTGTGTGTGTGTGTGTGTGTGTGTATAGCTGTGTTGGGAGCTCAAGATGCTGGGTGGCTCCCAGTTCATGTTTCCAAAAGCCGTCAGGTGGAGCAAGAGGAACTTCTTTATCACCAAGAAACTCCTCTCGACAACCTGAGTAGTATAGAGGCAGTGAGTGAGGTCACAGAAAGAGGGCTGAATTTCACTTCCTTCTGTGAGGAAGGTTATACCAGTCTCAGGTTCAGTGCTGACAGGAATGGTAGGCTGTGGGGAAAGAAGATTGAAGTCATGGGCCCTAGTGAGTAGGCTGAGCTGGGGGAGGCTGGCCTCACTGCCTGGTGTTGGACCTCCCCTCTAGGCCAAGCTAATGCTGTGCTGGGAGGGCAGTGACTAACTTGGGTCTTTCTGCCCTCTCTCCCAGGACACACGCTTACCACACCGTGGAGCCTGTTTGTTGTGTTGAGCAAGCAGGGGGTGGAGTCCAGAGTAGATGGGCAGCTGGGCGGGGCTTAGTGGGTTTGGAGGGAACCCCAGCAGCCCTAGGATTGCTGGCTTTTGTTTTTTTGCTGCCCAGCCAGAGCTCAGCTCAGTCGGAGATGAGAGCTTGGGTGGTTACTCTTCAGGGAAGTGAGTGAGTGAGTATGTGTGTGTGTAGGGGGGGGGTGTTGTGAGCGTGGTGTGTACTGCCCGTCACAGCACCCTCTGCCCTCCCACAGCCACTCACAGGGTCTAGTCTTGTTGACATTTCCCCAGGTGTCCTGCATGCTTGGAGCAGTTGATCATACCCCTGCTATTGCTCAGAGTCAACAGCAGTTAGACTTCGTGACCTGAACCAGCCTGGGTCAGAAGAAAAGGCCCAGGCGGCAGGGGGGTGGGGGGGTGGCTCTGGGTGGGCCCAGGGCTGAGGTATGGCGCACCCTTGGACAGTGAGGCCATGGTAGTTCTTTATCACCGGTTGTCTGTCCTCAGTACCTGGCCCCGCTACCCCAGATAAGAAGGGGAAGCAGGAAAGAAGAAAGGGGAGGAGAATCCTTCAGGCTTGGCTCAGGGAGGAGCAGCATCCCAGAGGCCCGCCTTGCACCCTAACAGGGGAGATGGAGCCGCCTCAGTGTGTGGAGGAGCTGGAGGACGACGTGTTCCAGCCAGAGGATGGGGAGCCGGGGACCCAGCCTGGGAGCTTGCTCTCTGCTGACCTGTTTGCCCAGAGCCAGCTGGACTTCCCCCTTAGCCGTCTGCATCTCTTCCCTCTCACCCACTGCTGTGGCCCTGGGCTTCGACCCACCAGCCAGGAGGACAAGGCCACCCAGACCCTCAGTCCGGCCTCCCCGAGTCAGGGTGTCATGCTGCCTTGTGGGGTGACCGAAGAACCCCAGCGACTCTTTTATGGTGAGTGCTCTTAGCCTCAAGACTCCTCCCATAGAGACTGGGGGAAAAGAGGGGACTTCCCCTCCTCAGACCTGCACTTTGTTATTTCCTTCCCCAAATTGAACAACAGGGGCTATGGATTCCTCGACTCTTCTCACTCTGCTTCTCTGCTTGGTATTGCTTTTCACCTGTGCTCCTCGGGCACCAAGAAAGGCAAGTGGCGATGCCATCATTTCTGCCTTTTTGTCCCTTTCTGCAGGGATCTTTGGGGCCATGGTGTCTTTTGGGGTTGGAGAGAGGGTACCTAGCCTTGGGCTTGACATCTTTTTGTGTTCCTGGGAGTGATATGTCTTCCATACATTGGCCAATGTGGCCCCAGAGAAGGTTGGGGGATCTGTGACTCGCTGATGACACTGAAGGGAAAAACCCAGCCCTTTCTAGAAGGGAAGGTTCCTGAAGGCAGAAGGTGTCACTTGGGACTTTCTGTGCTTGGAAGGGGAACTAGAGAAAGAGGTTGGGCTTGCTGGGGCTCAATGCCAGCACGAGGACAGTTTGCAAGGCTCAATCAGACAAGACCCCTTCATTTGTGGGCTTAAGTGGTTTGTTTTATGAGTAATGTGCCCTCCTCTGGTGAAGGAACGGGGTCAGACACTCAGTCCACTTTCTTCTTTTAGCACAATAGCTTATGGAGAGAGGGGAAAGGTTTGGAGGCTGTCTTGCTAGGTCTGAGGGAGCCTATCAAGGAGACGCTGCAGTTATTCCCAAGGGAGCTGCCCAGTAATTCTTTGGGGAGGCGGGGAAGATGGATAGGTGCTGCAGGGAAGAGGGAACAGAGGGAGGAGGTGGGCGGGCACCCCTAGCGGCAGCTCACTTGCCAGCACTTGGTTAGGGCGCAGCACTGGTCTCGAGGTCTTGCGGTCTGGCCTGGGGCTCCTCCAGAGAGGAACTTGGTTATCCAGTGGGTCTGAGGAGTTTTCTCTCCCTAGTTTTAGCACCACTGCGCAGAGCTTCAGGACCTGGGACCAGCCAGGAGGAAAAAGTGAAGGCACATTTTGGTTTTCTCTTTCTCCTGCCTTGCTTTGCTCAACCCAGGACCTCTGGAAAGCTGCCTCCGGAGCTTTTCCTGAGAAGAGCTTCAACCTGCTACTGCATGAAAAATAAATTGTGGTCCAGCATAGTTTGGTAAATAAAGACAGAAGGCTGGCAGGCTCCCGCACACATAGTAGTCCTTTTGCCCTGGCCCTTCCTGGGAGTGGAGAAAGCTAGGACCTTTCCCTCCCTCTGAGCATCGGCTTTTAAATGCTTGGGCAGCAGGCAGGTCGGGCTGTCCACGTCTGGAAGTGTGTCTGATCAAGGCCTCAGGCCCCCCAGGCCTCAGCTAGGAGTGGTAGGCACGGGGTGGATGGTGCAGTTGTGGAGAACACTGAGATGTGGGCCCTCTGTCTTTGCAGGCAACGCTGGCTACCGGCTCCCTCTCCCTGCCAGCTTCCCTGCAGGCTTGCCCCTCGGGGACCAGCCTGCTGAAGGGCAGTGGCAGCATCGAGCAGAGGTACAGATTGCCCGAAAGCTTCAGTGCATTGCAGACCAGTTCCATCGGCTTCACATGCAGCAAGTAGGCATGGGGGCTTGGGGTGGGGTCAGGGGAGAGTCTGCTGGGGCTGGGGGTTAGGACCTGCTTCAGCAACTTGGTCTCTGCCAGGCCCCATGGAGATGGTGCCAGAGTTTTGGCCTTGGCCACTGTGAGTCCCATGAACCAGCTGGGCCCAATTGGCTGAGCACTCTTGCTATCTCTGAGCTCCAAGTTGGTTCTCTGCCCTCTCTGAGCTCAGGCTTCCTAAGAGCGGTTTGTCCAGTGGTTTGTCAGGAAGCGCTACCATCTCTCCTGGGGAAACGGGGTGGCTTTCTGCAGCCAGCCTTGTGTGACACGGTGTGTCTGCTTGAGGCCAGGTTGGGAGACTGTCCCTCGCAGACCCAAGGGGAAGATTTTCAGGCTGCTGCAGTGCAGACAGACAGTCGGACAGTCGGTTGGGGGGGGGGGGGGTGCCTGACTTGAGGTGCGGTGGGAACCGGGTAACCAAGGCCATGCAAGGCTGAGGGATGGGCCTGAATGGGGGAAAGTGGTGGAACCGGTTGTAACCTGACACTTTCCAGCTGGGGAGGCTGCTCCTCATTGTCTCTGTCTGGGAACGGGGACCTGGGACTCTGGAGAGCAGTACCTCGGAGAGTCTCTCCAGATTGGCGGCCAGGCGCTTGGCCGGCAGCCTGGCACTGGCCCCGCCGGGGTGGAGCATCGCGTGTCCGCCGAGCATGTGGCAGTCCATCAACAAAGGCGGCGGCTGGCAGGCTCGTGCTGGGGGAGCCCTCCGTGCCACGGCTGGAGGCTGCCCCACTCTGCAGCCAGCCGCTGTCTGGGCCAGCCTCTGGGCACTTAACCCTTCCTCTCTGGGCTGGCTTTCTGGATGGCTGCCAAGGCAGGGAGAGGGGCCCAAGGCTGAATCCGTGCTCGGACAACCACCACAGAAGCAAAGGCACGCCACCTGGAGAGGAACACAATCCCTGCCTCCGAGGCAGTCCTGGCTAGTGGGCTGTGTGTTTGTGTGTATGTGTCTAGAGTCAAGAGAATGAATAACTCATCACGATTGGGCAGACCCTGAGTTTAGATGGGTAACTTTAGGTGATCAGAGTGGGTTTGACTAAAAGGCCAAACCATTGCCAATGCCAAGGGAGAGAGAAGTTATCTTTTGGCCACCTGAGAACAGACCACTGGGGGTTACATATGGTTAGCGCCTTCTGCCAAGGAGTTCTGAGGGAAATCTGGGGCTAGACCTAGTCCTGGCTGGCTCTCCCAGTCCCTTAGTGATCTGGAAGAGAGGGGGGCCCTATGCTTAGGTGATAAGGCAGCCTAGCTTCCTCCGTTGGCCCCTCACTCCAGTCCCTAGTCCCTCCTTTGATTGTTTTCTGGAAACTTGGCTTCGAGTCTCCTCTTCATTCCATGTGTGGGCTCACTGATTCTGGATTTCCGTCTCTTGGCCTCCTCCCTCCCCCATTCACTCTAGCCTGGTTGTACAGGCCTATGGCTGAGACCAGCTCAAAGCTTCCAGTCCTCATGTTGGAGCTGCTGGAGGGCACAGTGGCTCTGGTTCTCCCAGATCCATCTAGAGGGCTGTCATTCCCAGTAGACCTGATCTCTCTCAACAGTTGTTTCCCAGAATATTCGTACATCCATTGGTGAGCCCTCTGTAGGCTTGGGAGCAGGCTGGGAAGACAGGACTAGAACATAGCCCAGCACCCTTTCTTGATGACTCAGTCCTGAATGGGAGGAGGCAGCCCTCATCTGAAGAGCTGACCTGCTCTTTCCTGCTTGGCACCATTTCCCCCAGTCCCGGGCTCCCTTTTTGAGGGTATCTATCTTTCAAGCTATCAGCTAGAGCTATCCCAGCCTGGGAGGAGGGGCAGAGCAGCAGCCAAAGGAGAAGCACAGAGAATCTCCCCTGTGGTGGTCTACACCTCACCCCTGCTGGCTCCTGAGTTCCCTGAGTCCCTGTGTCCCTTACCCTCCTGCCTGCTGTCTACTCCTGTCTCACAGTCTCAGGAGGCCTGTTGGCTAAGCCTTTCTAGCCCAGAGCCGGTTTTCCCAAATTTTCCATTACAGAGAACCAGGCTTTTTGTCTGTGGAATCCTCTTGCTTTTAACCCTGTCCTCCCCACTAACCCTGCTCACAGACCTTCTCCAGGAGCTCATGCTGCAGGAAGGGCTAGGATAATGGCCACAGGTCACTGGCACGCAGAGGAACTTTCAGCAGCTAGCTTTAAGAAGGGAGTCATTTTCTGACCCTGATTATGACATAAACCATAGTCTAATATTTCATATCTATAAAGTACTGTTGTGGCTCCTATATCCTTTTCTTTTCTTTTCCTAGTCCCTTCCTCTGCAGGCAGGGACACCGAGGTGCTAGGAAGAAAGTGGTTTAGGATTAAGTCTCTAGGCTTTGAGTCCAAAGTCCAAAAGCCCAGTTTTAAACACCAACTCTATCACCCACTAGCCGTCAGGAAGGCCCTTGACCTTGTGAACTCTACCTCCTTCTCTGTAAATTAGAGCTAACACCCCAGAACATGATTGTGAAGATTAAGTGAGAAAATACCACTGAAAGTTCCAGGTGTAACACAGTAGGGATTAATGTGGGTCTCCTATTCTCTGTTTGGAAGCCTGATCATCCCTCATATTTGTTCTTACCGGTTCACTGTGCATTTCCCACGCTTCCTGTGAGGCTGCTCCTTAGCAGCACTGCCTTGCCTGAGCTCCCCTCCACCTGCCCTGCACAGAGAAATCTGTGTCCAAGCTGTTCACTTGTGGGCCTTGGCCTTGTATATTTCTCCTTAAAGAAGGATGGTCATCCCCTGTCGTTAGAGGCCAAGTTTAGGGAGCCAGGAAACACACCCAAGAGCCAGTAAGGTGTTGAGAGGGCTTGGCTATTTCCTTTCTCCTCAGACCTGGGATGGTGTCCCAGGGCCAGACAATGGCCATTGGTCCCTGAGTGCTGTAGGGAGTGTGAGTGTCTGCTTTTGGTCCCTAGTTACGGACCTCAGTTACTCTTTTTCTCTGTCAGGGGAAAACTTCTTCCTAGGAGATATGGAGCCGAGGGGGTGGGGAGTACTGTGATGGGGTAGTGCATTGTAGGATGGCATTATGGCAAACCGAGTACACCAGCATGACCCCCAATTCAAAATGTTGCAGATACCACTGAATGTTGGACCTCAATTTTTTTGCCAACCACATACTTAGTGATCAGTTCAGGCTGGCTCCTCTGGATGGAAAGGCAAGAATTTGAAGGCAGAAGATCAATGTCAGTGAGGTGCTTTTTGTTGGCTCTGTGGGTCTCCAAAGCAGCAAGAGAGTCAGAGGCTGGATGCTTTGAGATAAAAGCCCCTCCCAACCTGGTCACACGCCCCATCTTTCCTTGACGGGGTTGGGAATGGAATGTTCCTCTCTTTTTTAAATATATACATTTTATTTGTTTATTTTAGAGAGAGAAAGAGTGGAGGGGCAGTGGTGGAGAGAGAGGGACAAGCAGACTCTGCTCTGGGTGCCAAGCCCAATGTAGGGCTCAGTCTCATGACCCGAGATCATGACCTGAGCCGAAATCAAGAGTCGGACACTCAACTGACTGAGCCACCCAGATGCCCCTGGAATGTTCTCCTCTTTGTTCCTCTGCAGCGGGTGACTTGTGGTGATCTGCTGATCACAGCCTACCTTCACTCAGGCTCTGTGAAGGCACCCTGGTATTTCTGTATCTGTCCAGCTTCTACAGTGAAGAGCAGGTGCAAGTTTGCTTCCTAACTGTGTTTCTAGGTTGCTCGGGTCAGAAGGTGTGGGTTCTAGTAGAAACTCCATTCCCCTTGCCATGGTCTCCTCCAACATGGGCCCAAGAATGGACAGTAGCTGCTATCCCCTCCTCTTAGAAATGTCCCTATCCCAATGGCACCATCTTGAAATTGATGGGGCAATGTTAAGAAGCCAAGAATCCTAAAAAAAAAAAAAAAAAAAAGCCACTGTAGACCATTGAGTGAGCAAAGCTACAAGAACATTGGAATTCTTTGAGTTGGAAATGACTTTTTCACTTGGACCAGGAGTAGCTTCATTCTGAATAGTCAGATTTGGAAATTCCCTGAGTAGTAATTAGACTTTCTGGAAAATGAAATCTGAGGAAAATGTTAGCCACTCAAGAAAAACTATTTTTTGTGGCAATATCACAGAAAGGATCCTCGACTTAAAGGCAGATCTGGGTTTAAATTTCCACCTCTGGTCACTTATGAGTTCTCTGTCTACAGGCAAATCATTTAACTTCTTTGAGCCTCGATTTCTAATAGTTACCTAGCAGAGCAGATATAAAAGCCCAGTGGAGATTATAACATATATAACTATTAAGGTGTGGGCAGCTTAACGCTTGGAGAAATGTGCCAAAAGATGATTTTAGGATTTTGCTTGGACCTGCCTTTATAGTTCTTAGGGAACTTGCTTGGAAGTTGTACCCAGAATGGTGTTTACATCTGCCAACAGCCTGGATCCTTTGTTTAGGGGGCCCTTGACTGCTTCCTGACCCTTTGGGCTCGCCTCCGTGTTGCTGAGTGGTTTTGGGGGCTCAGACTGTGGCTAATGAGGTTGTTCAGGCCCTAGAAGTGGCAGCCCTGGGCAGGAGCCCCAGAGATTCACCTCAGAGTGAGAAGGTCCCTGTGGGGCCAGCCTCTGTTCCAGCAGTGGGAGATCTACCTAGGAGGGTGCCTGGGGAAGAATGAGGCTGGGGGAGGGGCTGTGGAGGGCCGCTGTGCGTGAGAGCCAGGCCGGGGCTTGGGGGCCCTGTGTTTGCTCTGTGGCTGGCTCTGTTTATATCGCTCACTATATTTAGCTTCTGAGTCATCAGCGTGGCTGACTAGAGGCTGAGTTCCCCACACAACTTTGCACCTGACTACTCTCTCTTCCAGGAGAAGGGCCTTGTAGTTCCGGATAGTTCATTCCCTCCTCACCAAGCTAGGCCTTGGGGATGGGAGTGGGTTTTGTTTTTTTTTCCTTCTCCTTAGGGGAGAAGGGGGATGGTGATGGGAGGAGGAGTGAGAG